ACTAACTCCATAATCCACTTCAAATTCACCATTCCATTTATTGTCTTCTCATCACAAATTGTATAATCAGAATGAAAGGCCTAAGACAACAAGACCACGAAGTTCACAAAGAAAATATAGAAGCAACTAAGAATTGGGGTTCATATATAAACAGCACCAGACAATTTCTTTTTTTGTGCTTTGCTTTATGTTTACCAAATACTAAAAGATAATCAATGTGGAAAAACCAAAATGATTTTCACTATAGTTTTTCCCTGGGTTTGGAAATCTGAATTTCAAAACTAAGGAAGAGTTTAACATTGTTTGTGATTAGCGCTTTCAAAACTTTGAAGAAAAAAAAGCGTTTTTAGGTTTGTTTGGTAATTGATTGGAGGACTTTTAGGAAAAGCACAAGTCAAAAAAGCAAGGTTCAGTACTCTCAATCACTAAAGCCAATTCCAACATGGGTGATCTTTTCTTTTTTCTCTCTTGCTTTTCTCACATAAATAATGTCTCAAAACTCTTTATAATGAATTTTCTCTCTACTTTTCTTCCATGAACCATACCTAAACCTTTTCCTCTCATATTATTATCCATCCATCGGAAAAAGTTATACAAGTACTTAAAACGATATAATACAAAGAAAAATTACTTATATAAAGACACTTCTTTAAAAAGTAGTTTTTGCCAAGTATTCTATAAAAGGGCTTGTGGCAAGCAAAAAAAATTTATCAAACATACCCTGAAGGCCTGAAGCAATTCATTGAGGTGTCTATACAAACCTTCTATTTTGTATTACCAAATAAGACCTAAATAAGGTATACAGAGTTATAAAATAAGTACCAATTTAACTTCTACAGGCAAAATTTTATGCTCTTATTTATTAATATATCGATCAAAGTTAAACATTTTTTTGTGCATCATGCTATTTGTTAGTTCTTCACGTCTATGTACATTACCTTTATCAACTTGGCAATCTATGAACCTATTCAAAATAGGAAAAAAAAATTTTGATTAATTTATCTGCATGCCAAATTACTACATCTGTTGGCATTGGGTTTGGGATTGAACACACCTAAATGAGTGGGTGGGTTTAGGTCAGACCCAAAACCTAACTTATATCACTGGGCACGACACCTAAT